ACTCAATGCCAAATTGGAAATTAATTTTCCATGAATAAATACATTAGAAACAATGGAATTATCGTTTTTTTTTCACGTTTGTATGTGTTCTAAACTTGAAAACTATTTTTTAAAAAAATCATATATTAAATCCTTACCTCGCAAAATGTGCAACATCTCAAAAACTACTTGAGTTATCTTAAAATTAAAAACCCCTCACTATGTTCAGCATTGAATGTCCTATTAGGTACATACAACCCTTAACTCAAAACGGTTAAAATCCGACTTTTGGTACCTCTCTTTAGGCACACATACAATTATCAATCTTACTCTTCCGTATTTTCCCCAATGTTCTCACCTACGATTCTTATACAAAATATGACGTTCTTTTTGAAAATACAGTTTGCTTTTGAACAAGTTATTTTTCTTTAAATCCAAGGCAATCGTGACACGACACCTCAGCAGCTTTTTTTTTCCGATTGTTTTGGGTTTTTTTTCATGGATATTACAACTGGGCATAATAAATATACAGTATCAATGACAGATGGACGGATTTTTATGTGACGTAATCCTGCTCTCATGGAATTAAGCTCAGAAATTTCCCATTTATTTATGCCTATCGATGGTTGATTCCTTTCATCAATAGTTATTTGAAATTTTTCATAAAAGTTTCTATTTTTTAAAAGAAAAAAATGAGAATCTAAAACGTGACATTTTTTGGGAAAACTGATTCATATCAGGACATGTAGATGTCTTGTCAGCTGTGGTCAGTTACAGGATGTTCACATATCCTATCTGTGGCTAGTTTCGGTGGCATCTCAGGAGGTGAAAAAGTCCTGTCTATGGTCAGTCTATGTGGTATCCAAGGACGTGAAAATATCCTATCTATGGCTAGTTTTGGTGGTATCCAAGGATGTATAGATGGGGTACATAATATATCCTATCTATGGCTAGTTGTGGTGGTATCCAAGGACGTATAGACGGGGTACATAATATGTTGGAGACGGCTATCTATGGTCAGTTGTGGTGGTATCCAAGGACGTGAAAATATCCTATCTATGGTCAGTTGTGGTGGTATCCAAGGACGTATAGACGGGGTAGATAATATGTCCTATCTATGGTCAGTTGTGGTGGTATCCAAGGACGTATAGACGGGGTACATATGTCGGAGACGGCTATCTATGGTCAGTTGTGGTGGTATCCAAGGACATAGACACGGGGTACATATGTCCTATCTATGGTCAGTTTTGGTGGTATCCAAGGACGTATAGACGGGGTACATATACCTGTCTATGGTCAGTCTATGTTGTATCCAAGGACGTGAAAATATCCTATCTATGGCTAGTTTTGGTGGTATCCAAGGACGTCTAGACTGGGTATATATGTCCTATCTATGGTCATCCAAGGACGTATAGAAGGGGTACATATGTCACAGACGGCTATCTATGGTCAGTTTTGGTGGTATCCAAGGACGTATAGACGGGGTACATATGTCGGAGACGGCTACAGGGCAGCGCCGACTTCTCCGCCTGTGTCAGCGCGTGGTTGTACTTGTGCAGCATCCCGGGCGACACACAGGTGTCCAGGCCCTGGAACTGTGTCCTCACCACGTACTCGCTGCGGCCTGGCACCGGGTAGTCCTTGCCCTCCAGCGGCGCCCTGCTCAGAGGGAACACGTCCTGTTTCCGGAAGGCCAGGTTCTGGATGTTGTACTCGGTGATGGACCAGATGTACTCCTCGTCCTCGGCGTACAGGAACATGTCCACGAACGGGAACCGGATCTGGGGGG